GGCCGTTTCCCACCGTGTTATAATATATATATTATATATATATAAATATAATATATATATATATATATATATATATATATAATATATATTATATATATATATATATATATATGGCATGGCACCTCTGCCAGAGAGAGGCTGTGGGCATCCTGCTCTGTGATTTTGGCACAATATCGTCCAATCAAGAACACCTACCAGGATTATCATCAACAGGCTGGTGTGTGAATATCTGCTGCTCGTGTTGGAAAGGGCCAGAAGACTCTGCATTTCGTCTCTTCTTTCATAATCAAGAAAAGTGCTGTGTATGTGAATTCAGTGAGGGAACATAACAGTCACCTATGGGTAGGAGAGGTCGGTGAGGGGAGGCCTCATGGAGGAGGAGGAGGAGGAGGCGGAGGTTGAGGGGTAAAACTGTCCCCCACCTTCCCCAAACAGGCGTGCATACACCGTGTGCTCGTGTTACAACAACAATGGAGTGTTTGTTCACCGTGTGTATAGTGTATATAGTCTATAGTGTACAATGCGTAGTATGTGCATGGTATGCGCATAGCATGTGTAGTGTATAGGTGTATAGCGGTGTGTCGATAGTGGGGGCTGTACACAGAGCATAGTGGTGTATAGTAACATGTGCACAGAGCATTGTGGTGTATAGTGACTTGTCCTGGGAATAAGTGAGTGCCGTACTCTGCCTCATCACACATCTTCACTCCTCCCTTTCTTCCACCGCCCACCACAAGGACGGGAGACCCCTCTCCTACCCCCACCACCACCATGAACCACATGCGGCATGTGCAATGCGCCATTTTCCCTTCAGCCTGGGCTTACCACACAGTTTGAGGTATGGCAGATGATGAAGCCAGCCAGCAACAAAGCCAGGGAAACAATGCGCCCAACAATGAAAGAAGAGGCACATGTCAGGTGTGTGGAGAGTTTCGAACACGCAACAGGGATGGCCGCATTCATGCACACAATGGGTGTGCGGGATCACATATGCCCCCAGCAGAGAGCAGCCCACAGCCTCCACAGGCAGATGACAATTCCAATGGCAACCTTCTGTTGGCATTCAAATCCACTGCTAGCAGTACACTATCCTGGACCACATCTATTTTGTTTCTAGTTCTTGTTCTTGTTTATTTCCTCTTATCTCCATGGGGAAGTGGAACAGAATTCTTCCTCCGTAAGCCATGCGTGTTGTAAGAGGCGACTAAAATGCTGGGAGCAAGGGGCTAGTAACCCCTTCTGCTGTATATATTACTAAATGTAAAAGGAGAAACTTTTGTTTTTTCTTTTGGGCCACCCTGCCTCGGTGGGATACGGCTGGTGTGTTCAAAGAAAGAAAGAAAGAAAGAAAGAAAGATATATATATATATATATATATCTTTCTTTCTTTCTTTCAACACACCGGCCGTATCCCACCGAGGCGGGGTGGCCCAAAAGAAAAAACCAAAGTTTCTCCTTTCAAATTTAGTAATATATACAGGAGAAAGGGTTACTAGCCCCTTGCTCCCGGCATTTTAGTCGCCTCTTACAACACGCATGGCCTACGGAGGAAGAATTCTGTTCCACTTCCCCATGGAGATAAGAGGAAATAAACAAGAACAAGAACTAGAAAGAAAATAGAAGAAAACCCAGAGGGTTATGTATATATACGCTTGTACATGTATGTGTAGTGTGACCTGAGTGTAAGTAGAAGTAGCAAGACGTACCTGAAATTTTGCATGTCCATGAGACAGAAAAAAAGGACGCCAGCAATCCTACCATCATGTAAAACAATTACAGGCTTTCGTTTACACTCACTTGGCAGGACGGTAGTACCTCCCTGGGTGGTTGCTGTCTACCAACCTACTACCTATAATATATATATATATATTATATATATATATATATATATATATATATATATATATATATATATATACAGTGGACCCCCGCATAACGATGGCATCACATAGCGATTTTTCCGCATACCGATTACTTTTATCGCAAAATTTTGCCGCGCATACCGATTAAAAACCCCGCTTACCGATTTTCGTCCGACGCGTCCAATGTGCCCTCAGCCAGCCTCACATGTGCCGGCCGTCCCATTGTTTACCAGCCAGCCTCCGCGGTAACATCCAAGCATACACTCGGAATATTTCGTATTATTACAGTGTTTTCGATGCTGTTTCTGGAAAATAAGTGACCATGGGCCCCAAGAAAGCTTCTAGTGCCAAACCCTGTGGTAAAAAGGGTGAGAATTAGTATGGAAATTAAGAAAGATTTTGAAGGGTTTGGGGCTAACCCTGAGAAGCCTATGCCAGTTGTGGAATCCATTGTGCCTACTTCAAAGATTAAGGAAATGTGTGCACAGTGGGTTGAACTGCAAACCTTTATAAATGAAAATACCCTGACACAGCTGTTGCAAGCCGTGCTGGTGACTATTTCAATGACAATGTTGTGGCCCATTTTAGACAAATCGTAAAGGAACGGGAGGTACAGAGCTCTATGGACAGATTTGTTGTGCGACAGAGGTCCAGTGACTCTCAAGCTGGTCCTAGTGGCATTAAAAGAAGAAGGGAAGTAACCCCGGAAAAGGACTTGCTACCTCAAGTCGTAATGGAAGGGGATTCCCCTTCTAAACAGTAAGAAGATAATGCTCTCCCCTCCTCCCATCCCATCAATCATCACCAGATCTTCAATAAAAGTAAGTGTCATTTAATTGTGCATGCTTTTTCAGTTTGTGTGTATTAAAATTAACATTTCATGTGGTAAAAAAAATTTTTTTCATACTTTTGGGCGTCTTGCACGGATTAATTTTATTTCCATTATTTCTTATGGGGAAAATTCATTCGCATAACGATTATTTCGCATAACGATGAGCCCTCTTGCACGGATTAAAATCGTTAACCGGGGGTCCACTGTATTTTTTTTTTTTTTCAACAAGTCGGCCGTCTCCCACCGAGGCAGGGTGACCCAAAAAAAAGAAAGAAAATCCCCAAAAAGAAAATACTTTCATCATCATTCAACACTTTCACCACACTCAAACATTATCACTGCTTTTGCAGAGGTGCTCAGAATATAACAGCTTAGAAGCATATATGTATAGAGATACACAACATATCCCTCCAAACTGCCAATATCCCAAACCCCTCCTTTAAAGTGCAGGCATTGTACTTCCCATTTCCAGGACTCAAGTCCGACTATATGAAAATAACCGGTTTCCCTGAATCCCTTCACTAAATATTACCCTGCTCACACTCCAACAGATCGTCAGGTCCCAAGTATCATTCGTCTCCATTCACTCCTATCTAACACGCTCACGCACGCTTGCTGGAAGTCCAAGCCCCTCACCCCACAAAACCTCCTTTACCCCCTCTTTCCAACCCTTTCGAGGACGACCCCTACCCTCTCTTTCCTTCCCCTATAGATTTATATGCTTTCCATGTCATTCTACTTTGATCCATTCTCTCTAAATGACCAAACCACCTCAACAACCCCTCTTCTGCCCTCTGACTAATGCTTTTATTAACTCCACACCTTCTCCTAATTTCCACACTCCGAATTTTCTGCATAATATTTACACCACACATTGCCCTTAGACAGGACATCTCCCCCTGCCTCCAACCCTCTCCTCGCTGCTGCATTTACCACCCAAGCTTCACATCCATATAAGAGTGTTGGTACTACTATACTTTCATTACATTCCCTTCTTTGCCTCCATAGATAACGTTTTTTTGACTCCACATATACCTCAACGCACCACTCACCTTTTTTCCTCATCAATTCTATGATTAACCTCATCCTTCATAAATCCATCCGCCGACACGTTCAACTCCCAAGTATCTGAAAACATTCACTTCTTCCATACTCCTCCTCCCCAATTTGATATCCAATTTTTCTTTATCTAAATCATTTGATACCCTCATCACCTTACTCTTTTCTATGTTCACTTTCAACTTTCTACCCTTTACACACATTCTCAAACTCATCCACTAACCTTTGTAATTTTTCTTTAGAATCTCCCATAAGCACAGTATCATCAGCAAAAAGTAACTGTGTCAATTCGCATTTTGAATTTGATTCCCCATAATTTAATCCACCCCTCTCCCGAACACCCTAGCATTTACTTCTTTTACAACCCCATCTATAAATATATTAAAAACCATGGTGACATTACACATCCCTGTCTAAGACCTACTTTTACGGGAAGTATTCTCCCTCTCTTCTACACACCCTAACCTGAGCCTCACTATCCTCATAAAAGCTCTTTACAGCATTTAGTAACTTACCACCTATTCCATATACTTGCAACATCTGCCACATTGCTCCTCTATCCACTCTATCATATGCCTTTTCTAAATCCATAAATGCAATAAAAATTCCCTACCTTTATCTAAATACTGTTCACATATATGTTTCAATGTAAACACTTGATCTACACATCCCCTACCCACTCTGAAGCCTCCTTGCTTGTCCGCAATTCTACATTCTGTCTTACCTCTAATTCTTTCAATTATAACCCTACCGTATACTTTTCCTGGTATACTCAGTGAACTTATTCCTCTATAATTTTTACAATCTCTTTTGTCCCCTTTCCCTTTATATAAAGGGACTATACATGCTCTCCGCCAATCCCTAGGTACCTTCCCCTCTTTCATACATTTATTAAACAAAAGTACCAACCACTCCAACACTATATCCCCCCCTGCTTTTAACATTTCTTTTCATTTATCCCATCAGTTCCAGCTGCTTTTACCCCCTTTCATTCTACGTAATGCCTCACGTACCTCCCCCACACTTACATTCTGCTCTTCTTCAGTGCATGAAATTACCGCCTCCCTTTCTTCCTTAACATTTAAAAGTTCCTCAAAATATTCTCGCCATCTATATATAATATATATATATATATATATATATATATATATATATATATATATATATATATATATATATATATATATATATATATATATTATATATAAAACAAGTTATATTACTAAAAGAAATATAACAAGAGGGATTATACAGTGCATAGTGAATAGGAGGCAATAATTCGATCTAAGGGGAGGATAGGTCCACTTCCTTAAATCAAGAGCTCCCTTATCAGCATCAAGATACCTTCCTTTAAGTGTATAATTTCTCATTAAATGAGTACAATTATCACATTCACTAAGAATGCTAAAATCCAGACCACAATAAGCACTAGACTAGTGCTGAAGAGGGGCAGTGGTAAAGAATGGTCTCTTAATTCAACCTTCTTCAACTAGGTTTTAGACAATTTCAGTAAATATATGCTGTAAAGAGTTTTTATAAGGATATTGAGGCTCAGGTTAGGGCATGTAGGAGAGAGGGAGATTACTTCCCAGTAAAAGTAGGCTTTACCTAGTAAAAGTAGGCCTTAGACAGGGATGTGTATTATAATCATGGTTGTTTAATATATTTATAGATGGCATTGCAAAAGTAAATATTAGGGTGTTGGGGAAAGGGGGTGGGATTAAATTATGGGGAATCAAATACAAAATGAGAGTTGACACAGTTTTTGGTGATAGTGTGCTTCTGGGAGACTAAAGAGAAGTTACAAAGGTTAGTGGATGAGTTTGGGAGGGTGTGTAAAGGAAGAAAGTTGAAAGTGAACATAAATAAGAGTAAGGTGATGAGGGGTATCAAACGACTGAGGTAAAGAAACACTGGATATCACACTGGAGGGAAGGAGTATGGAAGAAGTGAATGTGTTCAGATATTTGGGAGTTGACTTGTCAGCAGATGGGTTTATGAAGGACGAGGTTAACCAAAGAACTGATGAAGGAAAAAAATGCGAGTGGTGCAGTGAGGTATCTGTGGAGACAAAACACGTTATCCATGGAATGTGTGAGAGTATAGTGATACCAACATTTATATGGGTGTGAAGAATGGGTTGTAAATGCTGCAGCAAGGAGGCTGGAGGCAGTGGAGATGTTGTGCCTAAGGGCAATGTGTGGTGTAAATGTTATGCAGAAAATTCGTAGTCCAAAGAGGTTTTGTGTGCAAAAGGCTTGGACATACAGCAGTCATGTGTGAGTGTCTTAGATAGGAGTGAATGGAGATAAGTGGTTTTTGGGCCCTGATGAGCTGTTGGAGTGTGAGTAGGGTAATATCTCGTGAAGGGATTCAGGGAAACCGGTTAGCCGGACTTGAGTCCTGGAAATGGGAAGTACAATGTCTGCACTTTAAAGAAGGGCTTCGGGATATTGGCTGTTTGGAGTGACATCTAAACTGTTGTATCTGAGTGCCTCTGCAAAGACAGTGATTATGTGTGAATGATAATGAAAGTTTTTCTCTTTCTGGGTCAGCCTGCCTTGCTGGGACACACAAGGAACTAACCCTACATTAAACATACATTCCTATAATGAATGGATACAACAAATACATTTCCAAGATGATTAGAACTTAATAAAAAATTACATACAGTCTGCATCAAAGAAATTAAAGCTAGTTCTGTTCGACTGTCCATTGTAATTAGTTTATCTAGAACCTTTAATATTTATTTATCACTGCCTAATTCTATGGAACGTAATGCTGCGGCCTCCACTGCTGATATGAGAGCATTTCTGCAAAGAGAAAATAAAAAATACAAATGTACATTTTTATTTTAATACGTTACACAAAGAAATTTATTCTACACCTTCATTACTAGTAAAACATCAGCCATGCTAGCCATATGCACAATATTCTGAAGAACTACAAAAATGGACTGTCCAGCCTTTTATGGAAGTACAATAGACAGGATTGTTGACTTAACTCTTAAACTGTCCAAACGTAGATCTATGTTTTTTCAACATTTGAAAGTATGTAAAAAAAGTAGATTTTTTTTTTTTTACATTGCAAGCATTTGAAAAAACTTTGATCTACTTTTTTTTTATATATATGTACTGTATTTGAAAATATGTAAAAAAACGTAGATCTACTTTTGGAGCACTACGCATGTGAACGTAGATCTATGTTTGGACAGTTTAAGGGTTAAATACAGAATTAAGGCCTGACATTATGAACAGTAAGTTAAAGGCTGGAAGTAGTCCTTTTCCATATATAATCAAAATTCATGCTGCTGTCATTGCAGATGTCCTAACTATGTATTCACAAATCATGTGGATCACATTTATCCTCCCAAAGTATCCAATAAGGGTATTCTCTCCTGGCTTATATTTCTTATAAAGGATTACATTTATCAATTGCAGTCTGCAATTATCAAAGAAATAGACTGACACAATCTTGACCATCTTAGCCTAAACTACAACTTAACACTTGTTACAGTGTGCAACCCTCAAAATCACTTATTTTTTATATTATTATTTTTTTTTTTTTTTATTTTCACACCCGGGCCCATTCCCACCAAGGCAGGGTGGCCCGAAAAAGAAAAACTTTCACCATCATTCACTCCATCACTGTCTTGCCAGAAGGGTGCTTTACACTACAGTTTTTAAACTGCAACATTAACACCCCTCCTTCAGAGTGCAGGCACTGTACTTCCCATCTCCAGAACTAAGTGGGCTTGCCGGTTTCCTGAATCCCTTCATAAATGTTATTTTGCTCACACTAAAGCACGTCAAGTTTTAAAAAACATTTGTCTCCATTACTCCTATAAAACGCTCACGCATTGCTGGAAGTCCAACCCCCTCCCCAAAAAAAACCCTCCTTTACCCCCTCCCCCAAACCCTTCCTAGGCGCCCCCTACCCCCCTTCCCCCTACAGACTGTACACCTTGAAGTAAATTCTGTTTCGCTCCATTTTCCCTACATGTCCGAAACCACCTCAACACCCTTTCCCGCCCCTGGAAACATTTTTTGGTAACCCCCGCCCCTCCCCCTAATTTCCACACACTGCTTAATGCTCGGGTACCCACCAAACCCCCTCTCCACCAAAAACCTCAGGCATCACCACAACCCTCTCACACACACACTCAGGCACTCACCAAAAACCCTTCACATCACCATCGGCACTCACCCAACCCCTCACATACACATCCCCCAAACTCTCTCAATCCCACCAGGCACTCACCAAACCCTCTCCATCACACACCACCACAACCCTCTCACATCACACACTCAGGCATCACCACAACCCTCTCAATACACATCAGGCCTCCAAAACCCCCCACATCACACACTCCCCACAACCCTCTCACATCACACACTCAGGCACGCACCACAACCCTCTCACATCACACACTCACCACAACCCTCTCACATCACACACCGGCACTCACCACAACAGTCAATTGTTGCAAATACAACTGGACAGATGACAAAATTTAAAGGGGGGTCAGGAGAATGAAAGGTTATGGGAGATGGAAAGAAAGAATGGGAGAGAATGGATGAGGGAAAGAGAAAATAGAAGGAAAAGGGATTAAAAAAAAATGGTGTGAAGCAATGTACTGTACATTGTTTTTTCTTTCATTGTTATAAAAATAAATTATATATGGAACAATATTGAGAATGTACCTCCAATGATATTGTGTCTACAGGGCAAGGGGACCAGTTCCCAACACTAGCCATGAATAAAGAATTAACAGTCACAATACTGTGGCTGGAACAATACACAATACACCGAGGTACTAGCTATGAATGATTATCTGACATCTCACTTGTTAGCTAAAACTCTCGGTATTCATTCCCCAGTGATGAACAAAATATTTACAAATTCAAATTTAAAGAGTTGTGTGAACCACTTTTCTTTCCTGTTACCTAGAGCTTTGTGCTACCATCTGAGGTCAAAATTCAAAAGTTTACAATTGGTTAAATATTCTTTGTTGTGATTCGGTGGGTAAGACACTTCTGAATAACTAACACTGAACAAGTTTCCTCCTTTGGGTCACCCTACTTGGTGTGAAATGGCAAATGTGGAAAATATATCAAGTAAGTATTTCCCAGAAGGGGATCACAAAATGTTTAACAAAACCTCAAGGTGGCTCCATTTACACTATTTACATTATTAATTTAAAATAACTTAATTCATAAGGTTACTAAAGGAATCTGGTCAATAGAATACCCATATAAAGAATTTTATCCTTCTATAAATTACTTAAATAAGGAATTTATATGTATTGTTATTGAATATAATTCTCACCTGAAGCCATTTTTCTCTAAACTATGCATAGCAGCAATTGTTGTGCCTCCTGGTGAGCATACCTCATCTTTTAACTGCGCTGGATGCTTGCCATGCTCAAGAACCATCGTTGCAGCTCCCTTTACCTGAAAAGTTGTCGATGGTCATATACGTAAATCAAATTATTAATATCAATTAGACCAATGGCTTCACAGTTCCTTGAAAATGTTTCAGCCAGCAAATATATCAAGGGAAAGAACCCATACTGTGTTTAATGAGACTACTTTTAAAAAATAGCACATTCAGGGACCCTGTAACATGAAAGGTGTATTCCATTTAGAACAATAAGAAGTCATTCATAAGTAATCCAACCAAAACCAGGAATAAGCAGACATTGCCATTGTGAGATATACTGGTTAATACTGTATATATATTTTGTAGCATCAAAAATATAAAGGATTTTTTTTAAATTGATGTCAAAATATGTTTAACAAACTATGAATGTGAAAACTCAAACATTGAATCACACACCAGAGCACAAATGGTGACCCTTCCTTCTGCTCACCCACATCCCACAACTACCCACCACTCCTATTAAAAATAACTTAGTAGTATTTACCGTCTCAACACTACCAGAATTTAAAATAAGTAATTAGCAATGAAAGTGATGGGAAGTATTTTTACACTTTCCTCCACAGTAATGTTTACACAGGCAACCAAAATCAACTACAGTCAAGTACTACAGTGGAACCTCTGTTTTCGTTTGCCCTGGTTTTCTTTGAATTCGGTTTTTGACAACTTTTCTGTCAAAATATTGTCCCAGTTTTCATTTATCACCTTGGTTTTCATCCGCCATACGGAATGTGCCCATCTGCCCGCACCCACACAACACATCCCACACATGCATTCTGAGTCAGTCTGGCTTTGTTTCTCATCGAGTGAACATTACCCTGCGCATTCATACGAAAAATTTCGTAATAATCCATTGTTTTTTGTGCTTGTTTATTGAGTGTGGCTGCTAAATAAGCCACCCTGGGGCCATAGAAAGTTCCTTTGATAAAGGAAGTGAGAAACATGATAGAATTCAAGAAAGAACTCGTAGCAAAGTATGAAAGTGGAATGAATTGCAAGGTTTTGTGGAGAAATATTACTACCACCCTCTACAAAGGTGGTAGTGATTGTGGTAGAGGGTGGTAGTGATGGTGGTAGAGGGTGGTAGTGATGGTGGTAGAGGGTGGTAGTGTGTGAGAGGGTGGTAGGTGTGAAGGTGTAGTGAGGTGCTAGAGGTGGTAGTTGTGGAAAATACTGTACATATTTTCCAGAAATACAGTAGTTATATGTAAATAGATGGCCTATATTGTATATAATAAAATTTATGTTATCGAAAATGGGAAGGAGCTGCACCTGCGCAGAAAGACAGTCGCCATTTTTGTTGTTGAATTGAGTAACAGACATTAGTAATGGGAAGAAATTTTCGTGCTCTAGAGGTTAAATTTGGGCTGACACCTCTCAAATAGGAGCCTAAATTGTTGGATGTGCATTCCTGCATAATTTGAGATATCAGGCGACAGGACAGGACAACTCCAGGAACCTCAGATAAGCTGTCTAATTTATGTTTAAATTCTGGCCAGTAAATTTTTCATAAATGTAGGCAAAAGGGAGGGGGGGATCCTGTACATACACCTCAATCTCCAGTCAAATTGGTGAGTGTTATTAAGATATTCTCTTTCTGTTATGTAAATGTGTGTATATATAATCCTTTTTTAATTTTAATATACAGTCTACAAATTTGTATATTTACCAGCATTCCTGGTGATGTATCTTTCATTTATAATTAATAGGTCCAGAGCAACTTATGGATATGACAGTGGTAGGTATCAAAGGGGGACATTTTTTGCAACCTAGGTGTCCCAAATTCCTACTTGTCTAACTGATAAATAATAATTATCTTTGTTCATTTACTGTTATGTACATAATGATACATTCAGCTAAATGCAATTTTCCACAGTAGTGATGGTGCTAGAAGGTAGTAGTGATGGTGCAAGAAGGTGGTAGTGATGGTGCTAGAAGGTGGTAGTGGTTGTGATGGTGGTAGAGATGACCTCTCCTCCCTTTCCCCTCCTCGCTGTCTTCCATACGCCAACAAGAGTCTTCAATAAAGGTAAAAGTGATGTTAAATGTTCATTTATCCATTTTATTAGTCCTTTATATTTATTTCTCATTGTTTTCTGTATGTAAAACTATAGCTATTCTCTATAAAATGTATTTTTTGTTAATATTTTTGGGTGTCTGGAACGGATTAATTGGGTTTGCATTATTTCTTATGGGAAATATTGCTTCAGTTTTCATCAGACTCTCCGGAACAAACTAAAGACGAAAACCGAGGTTCCATTGTAGTCAATTTCTAACTTGGCTTCAATTAATGATTTCCTTCAGATCAAACGAACCACATATGTACTACACACCCAACTTAATTTTTAACCCTTAAACTGTCCAAACGTAGATATACGTTTGCTCACGTAGCGCTCCGAACATAGCTCGACGTTTTATTTTTCATTCCTTCAAAATTGGAGCGATAGACCCGAGTCACCTAGAGAATTGGTCTTAACACTCGGTGTGTGCAGTATTAAAAAAATCTGGGACCACTTAGTACCTTGTGGAGGACCTTTGATATACTGTACTGTTGAAGAGTTTTGAGAGTTAATCTACTCTCTGAGCCCGGACATGGGCCAGGCTCGTCTGGTGCTTGCCTGGTCAATCAGGCTGTTGCTGCTGGAGGCCTGTTGCCCCACATATCCATCACAGCCTGGTTGATCTGGCACCTGGTGAAGATACTTGCCCAGTTTCCTCTTGAAGGCTTCTACACTTGTCCCAGCCGTGTTTCTGATATCTTCTGGTAAGATGTTGAATAGTCTGGGACCCCGGATGTTGATATAATGTTCCCTTCTTGTCCCCACCACACCCCTGCTCCTCACTGGGTTTAGTATGTTATGGCAGTGTGCACTTTTGGGACCAAGCCCTCGAGTACTTTCCAGGTACACCTACCATCCGACTTACGACCTGCTCGACATACGACCACTCGACTTACGATTGTGTTTTGTATGCCAAATTTTTGGGAAATAAACAACTGTTTGTGTTGTACACAGTCTTTATCCTAAACCTTACAGTATAAAATACAGTACTAACAGCATAACAAGTAAAAATGAAATACCAAAATAAAACAATAAAATAGTCATTACAAAAATGTGATGTTGATATTCAGTAGTAAGGTTCGACTTACGTCCATTTTGACTTAGGACCAGTTGGTCAGAACCAAGCTCGGTCGTAAGTCAGATGGTACCTGTATATATTATCATGTATCTCTCTCCTCCGCTCCAATGAATACATGTTTAAGACTTGCAGGGGTTCCCAGTGTAGTTTAGGTGCTTTACAAGCTCAATGTGAGCCATAAATGATCTCTGTATTTGTTCCAGCTCCAATATTCTCCTGCTTTGAACGGGGCCGTCAGCACCATTGGCATTATTTCCTTTGTTTTGAAAGTTCTCAATACCCACCCCATCATCTTCCTGGCAGTTGTGATCTTTGTCTTGTTATGGTCTTTAAAAGAAAGGTCCGCTGACAATTATTCCCAGGTCTTTTACGGGTTCCTTACGTTCTATTGGATGACCCTCTTGAGTTTTGTATATAGTGTTCCTTTAGAGTTCTTCATTCTTTCCATAGTATTTCTACCATATCATTCATAGTGTTCAGCACTTCTGTGCAACTAAGTATCTTTTACATAGATTCCTACTCCTCCCTGTGACCTATTAATCCTATCACATCTATACATGTGGGGTGCATATGGTGCCTGCACAGTTTGTTTCCATATAATTACACCATAAATTGCACACTATCACTCGGGATTAAAATGGATTACTGTTACCCTCAAATTCAGTTCGCTATATCACTGCCTATTCATATACTTTTTCCTCATTATAACACTGACACAATAGTTTATACTTCTCTGGCACCTCTGGCAATAATTTTTCGCTGGTGGTGGTTGACCCATGAATATATTCCATATACATACACTATGTATTGGGTATTTGACAGACTGCTGTAATCCACAATTTAAGATCACTATATCACTGAACATCAATACCCTGTCATTCACTACATTCCTTACACAAGATGAGAAACAATCCTTCAGTATAAAACATGACCCACTGTGTGGTAACACCTTTAGACCCAGTTCACAAGCCACTCTCCTGCACTTTTATTAACCCTTTCAGGGTTTCCGATGTACCAGTACAGCTTACACACCAGGGTTATTGACGTACTAGTACGTGTAACTTCTAGTGACTTCAAATCTAGTGAGAGAAAGTAGGTATGCCTACATATGAAAGAATGGGTCTATGTGGTCAGTGTACACAGTATAAAAAAAATCCTGCAGCACACAGTGCGTAATGAGAAAAAAAAAACTTTGACTGTGTTTTTTGGTTTAACCCTTTCAGGGTCCAGAGGCCAAATTTCAAAGGGTACACCAGTGTCCAAGAATTTAAAAAAAATAATTTTGTTATTTTTTCTTATGAAATGGTAGAGAATCTTTTTCTGAAGGTAATAAAACAAAAAGTACGAAATTTGATGGAAAATTGGCGAAAGTATGCTCTCGCGAATTTTGATGTGTCAGCAATAATTATGCATCGCTGATTTTGTGGACTTCGACTCCCATTTTAGGCCAATTTCATTATTCAAGTCGACCAAATTCTAAGCTATTTCACTAGCATTACTTCTATTCTATCGATTGAGCACAATTGGTAATTTGGCCAATTTAATGCAAAGTTCAAAATACTCCAATTTCAAAATAGGGTCCAGAATAAACAATGCAGGCATTCCTGGCACTAAACTAACATTTCCTCTGTTCATTAGTTTTCAGGCTTTACTAATGAATTCCATTTTGATTTTTGATTTTCATAATGAATTTTTATTCAAACCAAAAAATAGAATATTTACATTTATGCAATATTGTAATTATTGTATAAATAATATCAGCACATTTGTGAGCGTATATTAGTCCCACCAGCAGGTGTGTATTAGACATATGAGGTCTTTTGTTTACTCTTGAACATCGGCAAAAATTTAACATTTCTGCTACTTTGAGCTCAGTTTCAAGCCATTTCCACTACTAAAACGAATCAAAATCATCTCTATTTCTGTAATATGTCTTCCATTCTATTAAATAAGACCAAGAAATCGCAAATACAACTATAAAAAACATACAAAAAACACTGCAAAGTTGCTGTTTTAATCGAAAATTACGGTCTCAGTTTTTTCTTTCATTATGCACTATGTGCTGCAGGATTCTTTTATGTGGTGCACACATACCACATAGATGTATTCTCTCATATCAAGGCCAAAATTTACCGCTCACAGCTTATCAGAGTGAGCCGAACTCATGACGTAGATCTATGGTTTGGACCCTCAACATGAAGCTCTACAACATGGACCCTCAAGGGGTTAAAACAGTGATTTTGCACTGCATTTTCCTATGGTATTTATGGTTATATTCTAGTTTTCCTTGTCTCATTTTCTAGAATGGAAGACATATTACAGAAATTGAGATAATTTTTATTGGTTTCACAATGAAAAGTACCTTGAAATTGAGCTCAAAGTAGCAGAAATGTTCGATTTTTGCGAAGTTCAAAAGTAAACAAATCGTGCCAGGCGTCCAATACACATCAACTGGTGAGTCTAATATTCTTTCACAATTGCGCTGATATTATTTATACCATTTCTACACTAATGCAGTAGTCTGCATAACAGTAAATCTTCTATTTTTTGTGAGAACAAAAATTCAAAGTGGAAAGCAAAAAAAAAAAACGTAAGAGGGGCCTGGGGACATGACTAATGAACAGAGGAAATGTTATTTTAGTGCCAGGAATGTCTGTCTTGTTTATTCTGGACCCTATTTGGAAATTGGCATCTTTTGAAATTTGTGTGAAATTGGCAAAATTGCCAATTTCTGACCACTTTAATGGATAGTTGAAATCAGTAAATGGGTGGTTTCTTGTACTCATTCGATAGAAAAAAATGGACTTCTTGCAAAATAGTTATGATTTTTGCTGACTAGCACACGAATTGGCCGAAAATAGGGCTCAAAGTGGGCGAAATTGCCGATGCGTAAACATCGTTGAGACAAACTTTGCGAGAGCATAAGTCCGTAAGTTTTCCATCAAATTTCATACTTTTGGTGTCATTATGATTGGGAAAAGATTCTCTATCTTTTCATAAGAAAAAATAATTTGTTTTTTTCCGAAAAATTTTCGACCCTGAGAACAAGTTTAGGAGAGGGCCTCTCAACCCTGAAAGGGTTAATAATAATATATTACATTCTCCTATGGTTTTAACAGTAGTCCTCTTTTGTTTCTTAATTTTTCTGCTCTTTGAGTTTATGCTAATCCCTGATCTTTCTTATTTCCCCTCACTGCTAGTCACAAATCATTTCCTATATGGCACCCTCCATAACAACCGTTATTCTGACACCTGGCACTCTACACTTGGCACTATACAGTGGACCCTCGGTTATTGGCCGTAATCCATTCCAGAAGGTTGGCCTAAAACCGAAATAATATTTCCCATAAGAATTAATGTAAATACAATTAATCCGCTTCTGACACCAAAAATATTACAAAAAATAAATTTTTTAAAGATTAATTATAGTTTTACATACACAAAACAATGAGAACTAAATCAAATAAATAAATGAGCATTTAAATCACTATTACATACCTTTATTGAAGACTTGTTGGTTTATGGAAGACAGGGAGGAGGAGAGGGGAGGATTGATTATTGTTTGGAAGGGGTATCCCCCTCCATAAGGACTTCAGGTATCAAAGCCATCTCTGGGGTTACTTCCCTCCCTGCATGCCTGCCTGCTACACTCCCTGCCTGCCTGCTTTCCTTCCACACTCCCTGTTTCCCTGCTGCACTCCCTGTATGCCTGCTACACTCCCTGCATGCCTGCTACACTCCCTGCCTTCCTTCCACATTCCCTGTTTCCCTGCTACACTCCCTGCCTGCCTGCTACACTCCTTGCCTGCCTGCTACACTCCCTGCCTGCCTGCTACACTCCCTGCATACCTGCTACACTCCCTGCATGCCTGCTACACTCCCTACATGCCTGCTACACTCCCTACATGCCCTCCACACTTCCTGTTTTCCTGCTACACTCCCTGCCTGTGAAATGTTTTGATGAATGAGCAGAAGTTTCCTCACACGCCCAGAGACACAGCCAGACTGACTCACAAGACATGCGAGCGGCTGTGGCTGCTGGGTGGACGGGTACAATACGGCCGATCAGTGAAATAACGGCCGATAACCGGAAGCCGAAAAACTGGCCAATAACCGAGTTGGCTGATAAGCAAAACATCCGATAACCGAGGGTCCACTGTAATCTCTATTTTTTCCTCTTTAATGATCACTGATGTTTCCCTTCTGTGGGTTTAAAAGAGTATATGCACTTTAGGTTTTCACACACCTATTTTCCACACTCTGGTCCTTCTGGGACCGCCAGATATACGCGAATTTGGCGGAGCTCAAACTTGAGTGACTTCTCCCACACACTTAACACTAGTTCAATTGAGTGCCAGCTAGAGCAAATAGTGTGGCAAACACCAGGAATTCACTGATGTCAAGGCACATTAACACACCCCTTTTAAGAGGAAAATAAAAATAGGTTAGATAAATTCATGCGTAGGTGTGGGTGGTTGTGAGCTGGACCTGACTAGCTTATGCTACTAGGTCTGATACCATGCTCCTTACTTCAGTGGATGTGACCTAACTAGGTGGGTCATTGGTCTAAGCCTGGGTGTGACATGGACCTGCCTTGCATGGGCCAGTAGGCCTGCTGCAGTGTTCCTTCTATCTTATGTTCTTATGTATTCGGCAGGCTGGCTTTGGCTGTCTCTGTCTATATATCTCTCTCTCTCTCATATGTACACGTAAGTACAGTTATTATATATAGAGTAAATTACCTAGGATAACTCAAAAATTCCAGGCAAAGTGCTATACTGTGGTTGTAGATATAAGACATAAATAGCCATGATGCAATATGCATTTTTACTTGCTCAGGAATCAGGGAGTGGCCCGTAAACCAACAGTTTTACAAGCCGCTTCCTGAGACAGACAAGGAGATGGAGAGACACACAGGCAGACAGATAAGCAGAGCTAGACAGACACAGACAGACATACAGACAGATAGATAGACAGACATGTTTGTGTGTAACAGTGAAAACAAATAAAGCAGGGTTCCTTGAGTGCACATTCATCAAGTATCACTGCCTGTCAACAGGTTACTGACACTTGTCATAACACCATGCTTCAAGGTATACTCCAGTGTGTCTAAAACATTGCTGGGACCTATAAATACCTTGTACATATTTCTAGACAACAGTAAATGACCCAGGCAGGTGAAAATGTTCACCTGTCAATATGATTGTGACTATTTGAGTACTATTTCAGTACCTAATATTAGTGTCAGAACAAAGATTAGCTACGAAATCAAAAGAACTATTATAAATTGTAATTATCAGAACATAAAAAATATATTAGCAGTTTAGAGGGACATGTTGTGTATCTTTATATGTATATGCTTCTAAACTGTTGTGTTCTGAGCACCTCTGCAAAAACAGTGATTATGTGTGAGTGAAGTGAAAGTGTTGAATGATGATGAAAGTATTTTCTTTTTGGGGATTTTCTTTCTTTTTCTGGGTCACCTTGCCTCGGTGGGAGACAGCCGACTTGTTGGGAAAAATATATAATATATATATATATATATATATATATATAATATATATATATATATATATATATATATATATATATATATCTACCCTGCCTTGGTGGGATACGGCCGGTTTGTTTGAAAGAAGAAGAATATATATATATATACAGTATATATATATATATATATATATATATATATATATATATATATAGATTAAAATAAAAATGAGAAAAAAAGGTATACTGGCAACACTTCTGCAAGCGGCAGGAGTCAATGCTGCCGTTAGGTGAACATCCAGTGCCAACTTCACAGGCTTATATCTCAATAAATACCGACCCTAAATTTTTTTTTTAATCCTATAACGTGTAGAAAAATGCACTCTTCATTAAAAAAAAAAAAAAATTTTTATTTTTTTCAAAATATTCAAAGCGCTACGCAAGTGAACGTAGATCTACGTTTGGACAGTTTATGGGTTTAATCATTAAAAAATATTGTGCAGTTAAAATTTTAAGTTTGTGTACCATCTTTTATGATATATAGAGAGTGCTGTATAACACACAATCTCAAGCCCCACCGTCTGAGCAGCCAAAGTCTGAGCAAGCTGCCGAGGAAGACCCATCTTAACTCCTCCATCTGCAAGGGCTTCTATAGCAGCATATATCTGGAAAAAAAAAAAAGTATTTTCTTATTTGTAGGCTAGTTCATTTGCCATTTACCACATGTGGCAGCAAAAACTGTGAAAATATAGAGCATTTTGCATGTATAGTTAAACCTCAATTTACTGGACATTAGATATACAGTGGACCCCCGGTTAATGATATTTTTTCATTCCAGAAGTATGTTCAGGTGCCAGTACTGACCGAATTTGTTCCCATAAGGAATATTGTGAAGTAGATTAGTCCATTTCAAACCCACAAACATACACGTACAAACGCACTTACATAAATACACTTACATAATTGGTCGCATTGGGAGGTGATCGTTAAGTGGGGGTCCACTGTAATTGATTTCAAATTTAATGGGCAAAATCCAAAAGACAAAGTTCACTGTTTCCAGAATTGTCCATCAATGTTATGGTTCACTGGGTGAATTGATTTTGGAAAGTCTCTTGTTTCTAAAAGTCTGTTACTTTTACAATCACGACAAAAAAAATTCAGATTTAACAAGACAACTGGCTTTACCAGACACCTCAAATCCAATTACAGTGGACCCTTGACCAACGATGGCATCGATTAACGATAAATCCGACCAGCGATACATTTTAACGCAAAAATTTTGCCTCGACTAGCGCTAAAAAACTCGACCAACACTATTCGCTCCGTCTGAGATGCGTCCACTTCTGGCCAGTGTTTACAAGCCAGCCAGCCACCGCGGTCGCTTCCAAGCATACAATTGGAACATTTCATATTATCACAGCCTTTTTAGTGATTGCACCTGCAAAATAAGTCACCATGGGCCCCAAGAAAGCTTCTAGTGCCAACCCTACAGCAAAAAGGGTGAGAATTACTATGGATATGAAGAAAGAGATCATTGCTAAGTATGAAAGTGGAGTGCGTGTCTCCGAGCTGGCCAGGTTGTACACAAAACCCCAATCAACCATCGCTACTATTGTGGCCAAGAAAACGGCAATCAAGGAAGCTGTTCTTGTCAAAGGTGCAACTATGTTTTCGAAACTGAGATTGCAAGTGAAAGAAGATGTTGAGAGGCTGTTATTGGTGTGGATAAACGAAAAACAGATAGCAGGAGATAGCATCTCTCAAGCGATCATATGTGAAAAGGCTAGGAAGTTGCATGAGGATTTAATTAGAAAAATGCCTGCAACTAGTGGTGATGTGAGTGAATTTAAGGCCAGCAAAGGTTGGTTTGAGAGATTTAAGAATCGTAGTGGCACACATAGTGTGATAAGGCATGGTGAGGCTGCCAGTTTGGACCAAAAAGCAGCTGAAAAATATGTGCAGGAATTCAAGGAGTACATAGACAGTGAAGAATTGAAACCTGAACAAGTGTTTAATTGTGACACTGACAATGTTGTGAAACACTTTAGGAATGTCATAAAGGAACGGGAGGTACAGGCCTCTATGGACAGATATGTTGTGCGACAGAGGTCCAGTGACTCTCAAGCTGGTCCTAGTGGCATTAACCCTTTGAGGGTTTTCGTCGTACTAGTACGTCTTACGCGTAGGGGTTTTTGACGTACTAGTACTCATAAATTCTAGCGACCTCAAATCTAGTGGGAGAAAGCTGGTAGGCCTTCATATGAAAGAATGGGTCTATGTGGTCAGTGTGCACAGTCTAAAATAAATCCTGCAGCACACGGTGCATAATGAGAAAAAAAAAACTTTTTCCATTTTTTTTTAATAAATCAGCGACTTTGCAGTGTATTTTCGTATAGTATTTATTGTTGTATTCTAGTTTTCTTGGTCTCATTTTATAGAATGGAAGACATATTACTGAAATTGAGATGATTTTGACTGGTTTTACAATGAAAGGTGCCTTGAAATTGAGCTCAAAGTAGCAGAAATGTTCGATTTTTACCAAACTTCAAAAGTAAACAAATCGTGCCAAGCGTGCAATACACGTCAACTGGTGAGTCTAATATTCTTTCACAAGTGCACCAATAATATTTATACCATTTTTTACACTAATGCAGTAGTCTGCATAACAGTAAATCTTATATTTTTTGTGAGAATAAAAATTCAAAGTGGAAAGCAAAAGAATATAAGAGGGCCTTGAGACGTGACTAATGACTAGAGGAAATGTCATTTTAGTGCCAGGAATGTCTTTCTTGTTTATTCTGGACCCTATTCCGAAATTGGCATCTTTTGAAATTTGTGTGAAATTGGCAAAATTGCTAAATTCTGACCACTGTACTGGATAGTTGAATTTATAAATGGGTGGTTTCTTGCACCCATTCGATAGAAAAAATGGAGTTCTAGCGAAATATTCATGTTTTTTGTCGACTAGTACAGTGAAATTGGCCGAAAATGGGGCTCAAAGTGGGCAAAATCGCCGATCCGTAAACATCGCCGAGACCGCTAACTTTGCGAGAGCATAATTCCGTAAGTTTTCTATCAAATTTCAAACTTTTGGTGTCGTTATGATCGGGAAAAGATTCTCTATCTTTTCATAAGAGAAAATAATTTTTTTTTTTTTTAATTTGGCCGACCCTGAGAACGAGTTTCGGAGAGGGCCTGTCGACCCTCAAAGGGTTAAAAGAAGAAGGGAAGTAACCCCGAAAAAGGACTTGCCACCTCAAGTCCTAATGGAAGGGGATTCCCCTTCTAAACACTAACACCATCAACACTCTCCCCTCCTCCCATCCCATCAATCATCACCAGATTTTCAATAAAGGTAAGTGTCATGTAACTGTGCATGTCTTGTTCAGTTTGTGTATTAAAATTAATATTTCATGTGGTAAATTTTTTTTTTTTCAATACTTTTGGGTGTCTTGCACGGATTAATTTGATTTCCATTATTTCTTATGGGGAAAATTAACTCGACTAACGTTAATTTCGATTAACGATGAGCTCTCAGGAATGGATTAATATCGCTGGTCGAGGGTCCACTGTAGCCTGTTAACCCTTTGACTGTTTCAGGCCCCTTTCTGAAACTGTCATTCTATGTCGCTCAATTTTTGAAAAAAAAAAAAAAATTATTTTTTCTTATGAAATGGTGGAGAATCTTTTCCCGATGGTAATGACACCAAAAGTTCGAAATTTGGTCGAAAACTCATGGAATTATGCTCCCGCGAAGTTAGCGGTCTCGGCGATTTCGCCGACTTTGAGCCCTATTTTCAGCCAATTCCATTGTTCCAGTTGACCAAACTCATAGCTATTTCTTTAGAACTCCATTTTATCTATCAGCTGAGTACAAGAAACCTCCCATTTACTAATTTGGACTACCAAATATGGTGGTCAGAAATTGGCAATTTGGCCAATTTCACGCAAATTAAAAAAGATGCCAATTTCAAAATAGGGTCCAGAATAAACAAGGTGGACATTCGTGGCACTAAAATAACATATGCTCTGTTCATTAGTCACATCTCTAGGCCCCTCTTATATTATTATTGCTTTCTATTTTGATTTTTTATTCATACAAAAAAATACAAAATTTACTGTTATGCAGACTACTGCATTATTGTAAAAATGGTATAAATAATATCAGTGCACTAGTGAAAGAATATTAGACTCCCCAGTTGACGTGTATTGGACGTGTGGTGTGATTTATTTACTCCTGAACATTGGTAAAAATCGAACATTTCTGCTACTTTGAGCTCAGTTTCAAGGTCGTTTTCATCGTCAAAGTAATGAAAATCATCTCTATTTCTGTAATATGTTTTCCATTTTATCACCTAAGACCATGAAAACGCGAATACGTACAACGATAAATACTATACGAAAATACACCTCAAAGTCGGCGTTTTATTCCAAAAAATGATCAGAGTTTTTTTTTCTCATTATGCAATGTGTGCTGCAGGATTTTTTTTATGTGGTGCACACTGACCACACAGACCCATTCTCTCACATGTGGGCCTACCAGCTTTCTCCCGCTTGATTTGAAGCCGCTAGAATTATTGAGTATATATACGTCAGAAACATTGGCTCGTAAGACGTATTTATACGTCGAAAACAGTCAAAGGGTTAAATTAAGATTTTACATATGTAAATAATAAAGTTTCAAGTAACCTATCTACTGTAACCAATTCTCAATAAAATACAATTGAAATATTTTACAAAAGTTTGTGTAGTACAGGAAGAAGACCAGTAAAACACATGGTAAATTTGAAGGGAAAATATGCATTTACCTTTGCCTGGTAAATCATGTTAGAATGCATCGGTTCCCTACAGGCAAACCAATTTTTGGGGGGGATAAAGGGGTGATATGGTTTTAAGTCTCACCTCATGTATACAACCTCTTACATAGCCAGTCACTGTTTGTAGGCATCTAATACCTTAGCCATATTATCCAATACATTTTGGATCTTTTCATCATCCTATCTCCTCTCTGGATATTAACTATATCACCTAAAAGTTATATTAGTGATAGAAAAACAATCTCTGATAATACTGAAGGTGTTAATTTTAAGTTCCTAGTCTGCTCAGGTTTAAAAATATTGAAATGTGCTTATACAATTTTTCAAAGACTATATACAGTAATTTACAAATGTTTGTTTATACAAGGCTTGCTTGAATACTTTCTTTGAATTATGTGGGGCTGAGCCTTACTTGTACACACAGTCATCCAGTTAAATCCCTCACTAGGTCAGTAGGTATTTTCTTTTTTTTTTGGATGGAGAGGAAAAGGAATAACTAAAAAATAAATATTAATCTGAACATTTCCAAAAATCATGTAAAAGCCCACATTTCTTGACTAAATTAAAGCAAACAATAATTAACCACACTTACACCAAATGATCACTTACTAAAGATAAATGCATTTAGTGAAGTAAAAAATGAAAGAAATAATTATGGGAGAAAAAAAAAATGTACATAAGAAGGGTAGCAAATTACAACTGCTGTACCACAGAGTTGTGTGGTTGACAACATCTCTTTTTCCACTTGAAAAAACACAACATTATTGGATCCTTGTGTATACATCATTCAACTTACTGGTTTCTTAACCCTTAAACTGTCCAAACGTAGATCTACGTTCACGTGCATAGTGCTCTGAACGTAGATCTACATTTTATTTTACATGCTTTCAAATGTAAAAAAAAAGTAGATCTATGTTTGGAGTGCTACATACGTGAACGTAGATCTATGTTTGGACAGTTTAAGGGTTAATACCTCTTTTTGTTCCTGCTCTTTTTCTTTTTAATTCAGGAAGCCTGGTCTAAGACCAGGCCATGGAAGCAGTGATTCCTTGAGCTCTTCCATACAGAATCCTTCCTCTCTAGACAATGGATGTCATCAATGATGGTGAAAGTGTTTCTTCTTCTTTGGGTCACCCATCCTCAGTGGGAGATGGCCTGGGTTGTGTAAAAAAAAAAAAAAAAAAAAAAAAAAAAAAAAAAAAAAAAAAAAAAAAAAAAAAAAAAAAAAAAAAAAGACTGCACTATTATCAAAGGAACATCTTTACCACAGCATTACAAATATACTGTAGTAACAATAGTACTCTGTACCCAATATTTATTTTAAAATAAATATTGGATACAATATTTGGATATAAAGGTTATTTTTGTGGATTACCATGTAATCACAAGTGCTCAGAAGTGCATTTTTGTAAGTAGTGATGCTTTACTGTATTACATTTAAACAATACTTATACCAAGGAACTTTGCATAGCTTCATAATACTTACATAAGCAGGTCCAGATCCTGCCAATCCACATGCAGCATCCATCTGGTACTCTGGAATCTCTGCGCAGAATCCTACAGAACTGAGTATTGAATTCATGGCAACACTATCAGCTGGAGAGGTGTGTGTTCCAAGGGTGTACACTGAAGGATTAAAAATACTTTTGGTTTAATCTTTGATTAATACACACATTAATATACACAGAAAATTAAATTATGTGAATGCATGAAATACACAAAAAATACAATACACTCATTAATCTAAGAGTCTGCACATACAGTGTATCTGGAGGGTATTCCAAGGGTCAACACTCCTGTGGCTCAGTCCATGACCAGACCTCGCTTATATTCCTAGAATATTTCATGCCATTTATCACTAGAATTGACATTTTCTAGCTTGTCATATTCACCTTCGCTTTCCTCATTATCACTTAGTTTTTTTTTTCAATAACTCTGCCGTCTCCCACCGAGGCAGGGTGACCCAAGAAAAAAAAAAAAGAAAATCCCCCAAAAGAAAATACTTTCACCATCATTCAACACTTTCACATCACTCACACATAATCACTGTCTTTGCAGAGGCACCCAGATACAACAGTTTAGAAGCATATATAAAGATAAATAGCATACCCCTCCAAACTGCCAATATCCCAAACCCCTCCTTTAAAGTGCAGGCATTGTACAGTGGACCCCCGAGTTTCGTGATTAATCCGTTCCAGAGAGCCCGCCGAAGGTCGAAATTTACGAAACTCGAAACCATTTTCCCCATAAGAAATAATGGAAATAAAATTAATCCGTTCCAGACACCCAAAAATATTAAAATAAATTTTTTTTTTTCAAATTAAATAAAGATTTACATAATGAAAACAATCAGAAATCAAGTATACATGCATTTAAAATAAATAATAACAACATTACACTTACCATTACTGAAGACTTCTGGGTGGATGGAAGATGGGAGGAGGTGATAGGAGGAAGGTGTACACTATTGTTTGGAAGAATCTTCTTCCATTAGGACTTTAGGTAGCAAGTCCTTATCTGGGGTTACTTCCCTTCTTCCTTTAATGCCACTGGGAACAACTTGAGAGTCACTGGACCCCTGGCGCACAAAATATCTATTCAGAGAGGTCTTTTTCTGGCATTTCTTTAAGATTTCCCTGAAGTGGGACACAACACTGTCATTGTACATGTTGCAGATACGGCTTGTTTCAGCTTGGTCAGGGTGATACTTTTCAACAAAACTTTGCAACTCATTCCACATTCCACACATGTCCTTTATCACTGAAGAAGGCACCTCATCCACTCCCTCTTCCTTCTCCTCTGAAGCAAGTTCCTCGGCAGTGGTCTGATGCTGTTCCAGTTGAAGCTCTTGCAGTTCGTCAGTGGTTAGCTCTTCCCTGTGGCCCTCCACCAACTCTTCCACATCCCCGTCACTCACTTTATTTACCAAAGGGCTTGCACTAGCTTTCCTTGGGTCCATGATGACTTATTTAGCAGTTGCAAGCACAAAAAACAATGAATTATTATGAAATGTATTGTATGAACCGCGGGGTGATGGTCACGTGTTGGTAAACAATGGCACACTGAGCGTAAATGGTGTGGGAGACTGGCTTTGTGTGCGCAGTGACGGGTGGACGGGTACCGGACGGTCGCCAAAACACGAGTTTTTTCACAAAACTCGAGGCCAAATTTTTCAAAAAAAAAAAAAAAAAAAAAAAAAAAAAAAAAAAAAAAAAAAAAAAAAAAAAAAAAAAAACTCGCTGAAGGCCAAATTTCGCGAAAGTCAAGGCTGCCGAAACTCGGGGGTCCACTGTACTTCCCATTTCCAGTACTCAAGTTTGGCTATATAAAAATAATTGGTTTCCCTGAATCCCTTTGCTAAATATTATCCTGCTCACACTCCAACAGCTTGTCAGGTCCCAAAAACCATTCATCTCCATTCACTCCTATCTAACATGCTGACACATGCTTACTGAAAGTCCCTCCAACCTTTTTGAAAACAATCCCTACCCCGCCTTCCTTCCCCTACAGATTTATACGCTCTCCAAGTCATTCTACTTTGATCCATTCTCTCTACATAACCAAACCTCCTCAACAACTCCTCTTTAGCCCTCTGACTAATGCTTTTAGTAATTCCACACCTCCTCCTAATTTCCACACTCCGAATTCTCTGCATAATATTTACACCACACATTGCCCTTAGACAGGACATCTCCACTGCCTCCTCGCTGCAGCATTTGCAACCCAAGCTTCACACCCATATAAGTGTGTTGGTACCACTATATTTTCATACATTCCCTTCTTTGCCTCCATAGATAACTTACAGTTACTGTCATATAATAACTAATTACCTAAATCTTCAGTGGAGAAAGGGGCTTAATAGTGCATGAGGTTGAAGGAGTAGATGTATTTTGTGGTTGACAGATTGTATTTTCATCACTGTTCTCATAAAGTTCTTTATTTCTGTGAAATTCGATGAAAATTTCTCAAATGTCTTGGGTCTTCTTCACAGCAGCTTGCATCACTGCTATCAATGTTGATATACATAAGAATATTCTTGATTTGATTCTCAAATTATTGTGTTTTCTTCCAGGATAGTTGCCATGGTGCTGGACTATTGCCTTTAATTGTGTTAAAGTGATTATATATATAATTTATCCTTACTATTGCTAATTAATTTTAAAGTTTGTATAATCTTAAATCTGCCTGAAATGTTTACATAACTATGGGCTTTTGTGTGCATGTAACAACTTATGCTACACATTTATTCATCCTGGAAAATAAATGTGCCACCTACAAACCACAAAATAATTTGAAATTTCCTCTTGAAGAAGCAATCTCCGAAGAAAACAAAATTCAACAGTCACTATAGGTATGCCCTTTTGGGGATATCCAAATGCTGGCTTCAGAATCTATTGCATTTTTGTTTCCATATGAAATAAAAGCATGGAATTAAAAAAAAAAGGGGGGAAAATTGTAATATACTATGCTGTATACTGTAAGCAGGCTTGTGAAAGTGAAAATCACTAACTGGATAGTTTTCCCTACTCTTCTTGCCATTTTCTTCGAGAGGAATTTTCGCACATTTAACACAATTCACCAACTTTATTTTAAATGTAAAGTGTAGGAGTTTTTATATAAATCTTTAATAATTCTCAAGAGTATTTGACTAAAATAATTTTTTCTATCTAATTATTCACTTGAAAATCTCACATTATACAAACAATCATTGCTGCATGGCAGCAAATTTTAAAACTACAACAATGAGAACAATGCCTAGTTGTAAAATTCACACACTATTGATGAAAAATTAAAGATGCTTTACTCAAAACTAAAGTTTGAAATGAAGCATTAGTATTCTAAAGACTGGCTTCAAAGGTTCAAGAAATGCCAGAGTATTAACCCCTTGACTGTCAAAACCCTAAATCCTGAGGTGTCTCCTGGTGTCAAAAATTTTTTGAAAAAATTCTTAAGAAACGACAGAGAATCTTTTCCCGATGGTAATGACACAAAAAGAACGAAATTTGGTGGAAAACTTACGGAATTACACTCTGGTGAAGTTAGCAACCTCGGCGATATTTACGAATTGGCGATTTCGCCCATTTTGAGCCCTATTTTCGGCTAATTCCATTGTTCCAGTTGACCAAACTCATAGCTATTTCTTTAGAACTCCATTTTTTCTATCGATTGAGTACAAGAAACTGCCCATTTACCGATTTCAACTACCTAATAACGTGGTCAGAAATTTGCAATTTGGCCAATTTCACACAAATTAAAAAATATGACAATTTCAAAATAGGGTACAGAATGAACAACGCAGACATTCCAGGCCATAAAATAACATTTTCTTTGTTCATCAGTCACGTCTCCAGGCCCCTCTGATATTGCTCTCGATTTCTATTTTGAATTTTTATTCAAACAAAAAATAGAAGATTTACTGTTATGCAGAGCAGACTACTGCAATATTGTAATAATTGCATAAATAATGTCAATCCATTCATGACTGCATATTAGAATGGTTATTTGGACACTTATTGGAAAATGACATCATTTGTTTACTTTTGAACATGAGCAAAAATCAAACATTTCCCCTACTTTGAGCTCCATTTCAAGGTTCTTTCCATAGTAAAACCAATCAAAATCTGTTTCTATAATATGTTTTCCATTCTATCAAATGAGACCAAGAAAACGAGAATACAACCACAAAGTCAGCGTTTTAATCCAAAAAAACTGTCGGAATTTTTTTTCTCATTATGCACTGCGTGCTACAGGATTTTTTTTTATATGGTGCACAATGACCACACAGACCCATTCTCTCACATGTGGGCCTACCAGCTTTCTAATGCTTGATTTGAAGCTGCTAGAATTTTTGAGTATATATACGTCAAACACGGTGGCTCGTAAGATGCATACATACGGCCAAAACAGTCAAAGGGTTAACCACTTTAAAGGGTCTGTGAAAAAAGCTGTGTAGAGCATAACAGTGTAGATCACTATATTAAAGATTTTGTTTGTCCAATTACAGAGCATAACCATAAAACATGTCTAAAATTCAAACGAGACAGCTATTATGCAGATGTCTGACACACTATATTAGGTAATAAAATATCAGCATCTAGACTGAAGGACTTTCAAGGAAAAGCAAACATTTTCTAATGGGACTGGTACAGGTAAGAACAAATTACTTTTCATTGACACTCATTTAGTTGTTAAAGTGTTCCCAGATCATCAAGAGTCCAGTAAGCATTTCTGGATAACACACCAACTTACCAGTTACTAGTTTAATAGCTATTTCCTTCAGAGGCCTGGGCTCATTGCAGAAAGTCAGGCTCCCTAAAACTGGAAAATTGTGCTGCCACCTGACACACTGTTCTGCTCACCCACCTGCTGAAACGTTAGTTCTTGTTGCATCGTTACTTCCCCTCAACCTAACTACCCAATATTGTTCCAGCCCATGGATCAAGCTGAAATTAATAGCATGAAATCTATCACAGCAAATTCACAATAAAATGTTTGGAATTTAACTGAATTTGGAGTTGCAAACGCTTGAAATGTTTCAGTATTAACCCTTAAACTGTCCAAACGTAGATCTACGTTCACCTGCACAGCGCTCTGAATATTTTGAAAATTTTTTTTTTTTTAAATTG